AAAATGGTTCATTGATCCGAGACACAAAAAATAATCGTACTAGTATGACACCATTATTAATATTTACAAGGTGCCAAAGAACTATATACCCAAAAACGATCTTTAATCAAAATAGCATATTTGTACATTTTTGGAGTTAAAGAAGTACTATTAAAAATAGACTCGGAATTCCAATAGCATGTACCTTGGTAAATATTAAGAATAGACCTATCCCTTTGACAGCTTATGCCTAAGTAAATATTAAGAGTAGGCTCGTACCTTTAAGAGCTTGTACCTTAGTAAATGTTACAAATGGACTTGCCCCTTTTGACACCTTGTACCTTAGTGAATAATAAGTATAGACTCACTTCTTTAACAGCTTGGATCTCAGGAAATATTAAGAATATACCTTACTCTTTGACAGCTTGTTCATTAGTAAATATTGAGAATGGACCTTTCTGTTTGGCAGCATATACTTAAGTAAATATCAACACTTTTGACAACTTACATCTTAATAAATATTAAGAATAAACCCATCACAAATTCAATTGATTGTTTTTGTTTTTCAGACCCAGGCATCACCTACTGAAGTTTAAACACGTTGATATGAAACACCTAATAAATAAAAATATTCAATAAAAACTAATTTGACAAGTAACTATATATTTTGAAGAAGTGGTTCCCAACGTTTTTTTTTTTTTAATAAGGACCACTATGATAATTTTTGTAGGAGTTACATAGTTTTAAAATAATTAATTGTATGATTATTGTAATATGCTCTATGCATCTTTAATATAATGTATAATGAATTGTATAAATGCATAGATACATTATATAGGCTATAAAATAGGTATATAATTACTTGGAAATTTTTTGTGCTTATTTTCTAATAAGTGAGGTGTCAGTGAACAAACCGCAAGTTATGTATCCATGCCTGTTAAATTTGATTCACGGACAATTTTTAATCATCGCGACCTCCGATTGGGAACCACTGTTTTAAATCAAGACTTCTGACCAACTCAAGAATCACGTGGGTGGTGGGTGGAGTTTTCAAGGACGTACTTTTTTAATGTTTCACTAATGTTAGGTTAAAAAACATTGTTTATGATGCAAATATTGCAAATTACCCGTAACTAAAGTTCGTCAACCAAAATAGAAGAGATTAAGCCGTAAAATGCATAATTTCTATAATTGCGGATACTTTTGAAGTGATTTATGTCATAATTTGCATATATTGGATATTTTCATCCGTACTATGTTAAGCGAAACTCTATTCTCAAAGTGCAGTTTTTTTTTATATGATTCGCATAATAACTACGCTACATAACTCGCTAAATTGAAGGAAGTGTGCATCTCTAAAAGTTGCATAGGAACTGAGATCTATAATTACGCTGCTCGGTTTGTAATTTCATGGCAATAACTCGAAAAGAAAATTAGTACGATAATAAAAAAATTAATATTTAACAAAACGAAAATAATTATTGTCTAATTTTAGTATAAAAATCATCATCAATTGGCAAGCGTGGAGGAACGCAGTTTCTCGAAAGAGATCTTAACTTTTCAATATACTTGCGGCTAGCAACCGCGCATTATCACATTCCGATTCTATTGTTAGAGATATTTTGCATATTTTATAGTATATATATATATATATATATATATATAGTGAAATGAAGTAATTCCGCGTCTCGCCACTTGCGGAAATGCTTGCGATGCTGACTGCAATTTTTATATTTAAAGCATCTGTAATTAGTATATTTAAGGAAATTTAATAGTTGCGTTCAGTGGGAAATAAATGATTCAAATTGAGCTTCTCAAAAATGTTTATTACCGTAATGTTTGTCATCAGCCTCCGAACCAGCAACGCCAATAGTTTGAGCATCACCATTTAACCACAAAAAAATTATAAAACCAAAAAAAGAAATTAAACTCAACTTCGCAGAATTGATTAATGAGCAGTTAAACATTTGCGGCGTTTGCCTTAAGTACAAACAATTAAAAGTACATAAATTAAATAATTAAATAAAGTAACAAAAATAAACATCATAATTATTTTTATTTTCTTTTCTTTTTTTTTTTTGTTTTCAGTTTTTTATCTAATTTATGTATGCCCCTTTATTTGGTTAATAACTTATTAACCTTGACGCGTAGAGATACACATGAGCCGGCCTCCTTCTAAAAGCGTTTATGGAACTTGACTTTAATGCTTTGACTTTAAAGTGAAACCACTTACTAATGTTAATTACATCTTTCAACTAAAATTTATGTAATTTAATGTATATAATTTATACACATATAATGTAAAACACACATATAATTTACAAGCCTTCATCATTCTATTATCACTTTACTGCCAAGTGAAATCTGAATCCATTATATGGTAGATCACAAAAAAAAGAAAATTTCACAGAACCTAACTTAGAGCTTACACATCGGTGTGTGGAAAATATTTCAGACAAATTAAGCTCAATAAATGGTAATTTCCAATGGAATACCAATACCGATATTCTAGACATGCTGATTTGATCAAAAATTAATTGGTACAAAAAAAAAAAAAATTAAATGAGTGCAGATATTAAAATAATCCAATAAAATCCAATCCAATAAAAAGCTTCTGTATAAAGCAAATATAACAAGAATAGATATATTAAGTATTAAATTTTACACGGAATCGTTTTTCCACGCCGTAAATATAATACAAAATAATCTAATAATAGAATTATTATATCCCAATGATACTTTCAAAGGGCATATAAAAACTGTTATATACCTTCCGAAGGTTTTACGGACAGCTTCAGATATCCCAATCATTTTTCGTTAACACGCTGTGAATATATTGCCAAGCGTATAGTATCGGTATATGTTAAACAATGCAAGAGTCCTCAGACTTAAAGAAGCTTCCCAATATTTTGGGAAATCCCAAAATATATTTATATATTTTCCAAATCCCACAGATTTAAATATTTAGATTTAAATATTTATTTAGAAAAGACTTTTGATAGTAATAGTTTAGGAAGTCCAGTACAGTTATCAGCTCTTTATCAAAAGAGCTGGTTTCAATTCGATTTAGTTTAGTTAATGTCTTAGATTAAATACAATTAAATCATTTGCATAGTATTAAGTTATAGCACAGTCCACTTCTATCCAGGCACTCAATAAATCGAACATCGTTGGAATATAGACACCTATTTATCTTCTTTATAATTTCTATTGACCAAACAAAAGATAACAAAAAATTAAATATATATGAATTGATTTTGTATAAATCAGAAAAAAAATATTATGTATATATATCACATAAGGCGCATACCTAACAAAATATTAGAGTTCTACTAAAAACTTACTTACAACTCTACTTACAAAATATGAAGTCTATATTCTACATACCTTAAAGAGACCGTCAAAAAGCCTTTAGAAAGAAGCAACAAAAACCCCAGATCAGTTTTGGATATTCACTATCTAAAGGAATTTAGGACAACTTGCTCAACATCATTTGTACTACTCTCTAATACACACTGCAGATGAGACTACAGTTTCTATTTTATGCGATCTTATTTCAAGGTCTTGAAAAACTCATCTACGTTTACATTAGATTATTGTGGAGCTTTGACAGATTAACCTGTTTGTTCCTAAAGAAAATTGTCATTATTATTTTTGTTACGACTGTTATTAAAAAACATCTGAGGTGAGGGATCATATAAATATATGACTTAAAATATCTAATGACTTAAATGAGAATTGTTGACACAAGATTAATAAATACATATAGAAAGGTGTTCTAACTTTCCTCCTTTGGCACATTTCTATGTATACAGTACATCCCAGACTTAATTAGACAAAAATTAAAGCGATAGCGTATGGAAATATTTGAACCAATTTCTATCAATTCTATTTTCTCCAGAACTTATAGTCTTAACATTATAAATAAAACTATTTACAATATTCTCATCAGTTGAGCCTTATAGCATGGTCAGAATACCAGTTCTCCTTTGATTAACATAAATAATAAATATATTATATAAATATATATAAATATTATATAAATGTATATTATATATATTTTGTATTATATATTATATTATATTATTTATTTATTATTTATATTTATATATATAATCAACGCTTTAAACAAAGGAAATCAAAATTTCTTCTTTTAAGTTTCCTGATCTAATAGCCTCGTATAGATTAATTATAGGCTACTCAGTTTGCAAAGATCAGTAGTATTGTATCACACTACTTATACATGTACCCATATCTAGCTTAAAGTACCAACTTTACTACTGAGATGCTTACAAGAAGATATTGGAATTTACGGAAAGATAATGATGTATACTTATAACTATATTCAGATTCATAATTGTAGATTTTTAATAAATATTTAATCTACTCCTAAACTTCGAAAAACAAAGAAAAATTTAAATTAATGAATTTAAAAGGGATCAAATTTTGTCATAGTAGTAATCCGCCATAGCTATATTTTGGTATGGTGTGAGTATGTTGATATTCATGATTTGTAACCGTAATTTTCGAAAAACGTTTTTCATTGGTTGAGATGAAATTAATCCAAGATGAATTGAAATACAACCACATGTGGAACAGTTAATATATATATATATTATAATATTATAAAATACATATTTTACAAGACGTTGTCGATCTGAGTCCTATTAATTTATAACTATAAAATTTGTGTACCTGAATCCAATTCAACATTCCTGTCTATTTCCTCAATCCTACTCCTACCCCACTCCATATTATTTTTCCCATCGTACCCCATTATGCAGTATCCTGATAACCTTTTATGAACAAAGCTATATGGGCTTTGTTATAACATATATAGAAAAAGAAACCACTGAGATTACCCTTTAAAAGTGGGTTTATACCAGTATCATGACTGTGAAGATAGATAGGTCATGAAAAAGGCGAAAATAAGTAATAGTTAATAATTAGGTCTGATGAACGGCAAGAAAATCAAGAGTAACTATTAATAAATAATAAATAAATAATGGCAAAAATTTTAATTTTAAAAATTTATGATATTTTCAGAGCACAATCAAACAGTAACCTTACATATTACATATATCAAAAAGCAAATTTAACTTCAATACCCTGGAATGGACGACGATCTGCGTAGTGCAGTTTTGAGTATATTTCCCTTTGACTTAAGTCTGTAGCTTTTCCTTCATTTTATTCATTCCTGCAGTACAGAATTAAACTGCGTGAATGAGTGGATAATACGGTGGATAATATTCAATGTTTGAATTCATATATCCCATCTACGACGTCCCTTGAAGCACCGTGGAAAATAGTACAAGTACGTTGCTGTTATTTGTTGCTATCTTAACTAAGAAGTTTGTTACTTGCTAACTTAAATTAGCATTGTTTAAAATACATACATTATTATAAAATATTTATAATATGAAATGGCAAAATATGTTTTTCAACAGTTCTTAAAAAATTAAAATATAAATATTATTACATATTTAAGCTGTAATATCTAAGTAATTAGTTGAGCAGTCGTACTGCTCGGTTTTTAATGTCGGTTGAGTAAAGCCGAGTTCGACGTACAGATGTTCGCCTCGGCGCTCTGTGTCGGTAGAGGAGGTAACCTATCATTTGGATAGCGATGACTGATTGATTTCTTATGCGGCGTAATGGCAAGTAAAGTTGCTCCAGAAGTTAAGTTAGAGTTCTGGCCGTTATTCTTTATTGTGTCTCCCACTTTTTGATTTGTGTGGCAAGCGCTTTCATTGCAACGTGTGAGTTTTGTGTCTGCCGCATTTGTTTGCGAAAACAGTGTACGATCATTACACAGGGCAGATATCAATGGCAAATCAAGGTATCTGCTTTGCTCCCGAATAAGCGCAATATCAATGTTGGAAGTAGACGCAGAAGCATCAGAAGAATTGGAGTTACGATTTATACCAGTATCATGATTTGATTTTGTTGATGTATTATGCGGATAGTTTTCGGAAATATTTAATGCGTCACAGCTAACAGTTATACTGGACATGCGATTTTTCTGCATGTTGGCATTTTGAAGCTCTACAGCGCACTGCCCCACGATCACTTTTTGGGATAGTCCAATTGAGTTGTGTTTATTGCTGGAACTAAATGGCAGAGCCGATGTTTGATTTGTGGTTTTTAGAAAACTTAAATCATTTTTAGGCTTGCGTGGAACTTTAAAAATAAAAATATTTTAAAATAAATTAGCAAATATAATTTTAACACGCTTACTTGGAGGGGGCATTGCATCACATTGTGGGGCTCTTAATTTTTTCAATCTACGATCAATGTATGGAGGTGGTGACAATATTTGCGGTGGTGGTAACGGTGGAGGTGGTGGTGGCATACGTCTTCTTCCCTGAAATGGATTTATCGAACCCAAAATATTATCGTCGGAACGAGATCTCGAAAACATTGTGGAAGTGTTTAGTTTAACATTTGATGGAGATATTGGTGGTGGAGGCTCACAAGATGAATACAAACTTGTCATGGAAGTGGGATAAAGAGGCAAATATGTGTTGGGCAGTTGTACATAAGTATCAGACAAATTTTGTGTTGAAGCGAAACGTGAGTGTGATGATATTGACATTGGCAGGTACTCTGTACTGCAATAGTTTTTATGTCCTCTGTATGATCCTCGCTCGCTAGGCTGTTTACGATTCATATGAAAGTGGAGATACGATGGGTGTGGTGGAACCGACATTGGTGGAACCGTATGAGGAAATGAATTGTAATTTGCATCCACATAGTCCTTGTGACTAAAAGCTGCGTCTTTACTTGCATATATTCTATAATCGGGATCTCTATTATACGATTGCTGATATAATTCTAATTGTGTTTTAGACAATCGTGGTGGAGGAGGAGGTGGCGGTGGTGGTTGACGTGGTATTGTTGATGGTGGTGGTGGAAATAATTGACCTGGTTCAATTACTGGCATATAAAGGCAAGTATGCGTTGGCTGTTTGTCTGCATAAGCAATATTCGATAACGATGATTGTTGTATTGCGTAAATGCCTTTATTTTCCAAACCGTAAGGCATTAAAGGAATGCTTATTGTCTTCGGCACAACAATATGCCCACTTGATATGGTTCTCTGTTTCATTGGTGTTACTTTCACATACGATAAGTTTTGACTTAAATTTACGGAGGATTGCGAATCAGTAACAAGATTGCACTGCGGGATGTGATTATATGAAGTGGAGGCAGACATTGTCAATGAATTCGTCGGAGCCGCAAAACTAGGACTTGTATTTTCCTTTACTAAACTCGTATGAGCTTTTAGAACATTTATTTGTGGTCGAGAAGTAATAAACCGTGCTGTTGCTTCTTCTGGTTTATGTGCCCATTTAGATTCATTTCGTATATTGCCCAAACTGTGTGTGGAAAACGAATTGGGTTTAGCATATATGTCAGGAATTGTATGTTTCTCCTTAGTGTATGGCGGTGGATTCTTAAGGGAGTTGGTAGTTTTAGGTGGGACAACCATAAATTCTGTGGGATTTGTTATATTTGTAGTTACTGCAGTTTCAAATGGCACATATGATTTGGGGTATGATAGAATTGATGCTTTAGAGTTTGAAAGTTTGGAACCTTGAATAGAAGAACGATATTTAATTTTTTCTTGGCAAGTCATGTAAGGTGCTGATGTTCTATTATGATTTCTTAAAGGAATGTTTGGATCTTTTAGTACAGTTTTTTCAACTGACTGACTCTCTTCTTTTGACAAATTGCTTAGGATATCATCAAGATCTTCCATAGGTGCCGTGTCTTCATGTCCTTTTATGTATGATTCACCTCTCATAATTAATGGCAATGTCACGTAATCACAGCTAGAACTAAGTTTAGTTGATTCATTTTTTGAGCAATGATGATTGCTTCGACCAACAATTAAATCAGTAAGTTCTTCAGCTGAGAGCAGTGTATGCTTATCATTTGGATCACTACCATCCCCACGAAAAGACTCACTAACGCTTGCACATGAATCGGAACGTAAACGAAAAACATCTTTGTCAATTTTATTTTGAAGCGCTTCTTCATTACCAGAATCGAATTTGTGCTCAGACCCAATAAATTTATTCTTATCCGCTTCCAGCGCTTCATAAGTGCAGTATTTTACAGATTCACAAATGTCAAATGATTGCTCTGTCAATTCACTGGAAGCCATAGTATAAACTCCTGAAGTCTCCGTCGGAGGAGCACCATTTGCTATCGAATATATGTCAACTACACTTTCAGTTTCTTTTGCGTTTGGTAAATTATAGTCAAGCTTAATGTGAGTCAATTCGGATTCACTGACGATAGAGTTTTGTGCTGTGTGACTAAAACTCAACTGCAGACTGCTCGAAGTTGAATTACTTCTTTGTAGGGAATTGTGACAGATAATTGTGCGTGTTGATAAAGATTCTTGAGCATTTAATGGTAATGTTTCTGGCGATAGTGGGACAACTAAAGTTTTGCAACTAGAAGAGCCTTGAGAGTTTCCTTTACGATGCAAACTAGTTGTGTCTTTAGTTTTAGAGGAATTCAAGTATTGATTTTGTATTTTATCTATTGATAAAGTATCCAAATCTTTTTCAAAGCAAACTTCTTGTCGTTCAGGTGTGGGTTGTCTACTAATATTTGATTTTTCAATAAGATGTTCCAACGCCAAACTTTCAGTTGATGCTGCCGTAAAAGTTACTGGTTTATTTATCAAGATCTCTAATTCATCTTCAGAATGTACACGATCGCTAACAACTCCTGATGTAGTATTCGAACTGGTATTAGATATTACAGATATGCGTTGATCGTTATTGTAAGACGAATTTACTTTATGGGACTGACTAAAACACACATTTTGGCTCTTTTGTTGTTCTTCCTGTCGTTTAATAACTTCTTTAAGCCGTGCGGAAAACTTCATATTAAACTGATGTGTTTCCTTGCATAGCATTAATAACATTTTATTTTTTTCATCAGATGTAGCGTAAAGTGTAATTTTCTTCCCTTCGGAACGAATTTCAAATTTTTTCCTCTCAAACGAAAGCTTGGATATACTTGGCCAAAGGAATGTAACTTGTTTCTGTGAATTATCGTCCCCACAAATAATTTTAATTCCTTTAGCATATACGCCAATCCACGAATCTCCAGGACCATTTTCACTTTTTGACCTGCGCATCCGATAGGTATGCGCATTCACAAATTCATTAAGATTGCAGGCTTGTTGAATAAATTGAAGTTTGGCATCCGAAGTGGTCATGCCACGATATTCGCGATGACAATTATGAACAGCTTCAACTGCGAATGCTGTGTGGAAATCAACTGGCAAGTAGTCTTTTAAACAAAAATAATTTTTTATCACTGGTATATTTTTCTTTGATGGAATAATGCAAGTCTGATCTAAACTATGAGCTATTGACGAAATAGATGGTGAATGCGTTAGTGCTTTTATTTGTGTAAAACAATTTTCTCTTCGGATTGCAGTCTTAGATAAAGTAGTTTTTGCTGAAGAAATTTTCATATTAATTACCGAAGGATCGGCAACAGATTTTTTAGGCGAGACATTGGTGTCTGATAAATCAGAACCTTCTGCATATTCTTCCTGTTGACATACGATCGAATCTATTGTTTGTTCCTTATCATCTGTTTTAGAAACCATTTCTTTTTCAAAGCATTTATTATTTGTATCTGAATCAACTTCTTTAGCAATAGGTGCATCGCCTAAATCAGCTTGTAGGGCTAAGCCCGCTAATAAAATTATGGACTCTTGGGAATATTGTTCTACTATACTATCTTGTAATACATTGTGCCTTAACTGCAAATAATAATAATGTTTGGATGTTTCATCTTTTAACATAGGTGGTTTCTCGATGTAAAATTGCACACGAAAATATAATTCCAACAGTGGACGTCCATTTGCATCCAGACCCTGAAATTTATACATGTTATTAAGATTATTTGGTATGTAATAAAAAATTATACTCTTACATGGGTGTGTGAGGAGCGCCAACTTTTCGGTCCATATTTTGAAAGTTTGCATTCGGGATCGGTGAATAAATACTCGCCATCTAAAAATATATTCCATTAGTTTTATTATTAAGCTATATAACTAAACAATAATAATTACTTAGCGTACATTTAATTTAAAAAATTAAAGTTAAAACGTCTAAACGATGAACTCAATATTAAGCGATAAATATAAATATGAAAACATAATATTAGGTACACCAATATATCACTGACTTATAAAACCAATATTCAGAATCACAAATTTATTTTTAAGTAGAAGCTCGGCATATATAAAAGCCTCATAAAACGGATCAGTTTAGAATCAGGTTCTGAGCACTATAAACAATGTTTCAAGAACGATCAGGTATACGGTCCCGGACCCACTTGTCAGCCACGATGATCAAGTACTGTTCACCACCCCCTGAAGGGCTACCACAATAACAAATAAAAATAAGAACCTTGGTAAGATACCACAGGTCTTTCTAAAGCTTAAATCGCAAGGACATGAAATGCAGATAACATGAAAGCAATGACACGACGAATACATGCATTAGCATGTGATCCATGTGCATGGATGAAGACAGAGAACCTAACCATCTCAATGCGGTGCATACAAAGGCCAATTGGACTGAAGTTTGTTTATGCAATGCGGCAAAAGAACATATGGGCAACGTTATGAGGGTAGAGCTACAGTTTAGGTACGCATAAGAAATATACGTGTTTATGAGTAACTGTTCTGATCTGTAACTGATCTGAACTGAGCTAGGACACCTCTTGCTACACGTATGAATCATCGTTCGTCTTGAAAAATGTTAGACAGGGGCCTGTTGAGAACCTTGTTGCAGGACAACTTTGGTCTGCAACTGTGTAGAATACTGCAACTGTGTAGAGAGTTTAAAGTCTACATTGTAAAGCTTAGTCTGAAAAGAAGAGACTTGCAACAAACATATTACAGATAATAAAAACGTAATCCAATATACTGAAGTTCTTTTTTCAAATTATCATTGAAAATTCTGAAAGTATATTACTTACCTATTAATACAGCCAAGCCAAAAAGTTCGGTGTCTTGCATTCCTTGAGCAGCGAAGTGTAGACATGTTTGCGTATAAACTTCTCGGACTCGACTCTTTGCATTGACTAGGTAATAAAGAGTTTTGGGTTGTTGATTTCCTAAAAGCCTAAAACAAATAAATAATACAATACATTAAATTATAATCGTGTAAAACTTATTTTTTTTTTTGTTCTACTTACTTTAACGCCAAAAATCGGGAACCAGGAGATAATTGTTCGATTGAAGACGCGCATGCTTCTAGCGGAGCGCTGACAGTGCAAAAAGCTCGCATGCTGCATCATTATTTAAATTACACAAGTCAGTTGTAAATACGTTTCTAAAAGAATAAGGAAATTGTCAGATATTATAGTTGCTTAAGAGTTTATAAAAGATCAATGGGAAATTTGATGTAACTTGTCGTTGAAAACTTCAATAAGTCATAAATGGTTTTAAAAAATACAACTTTTGTTTTTATAGTAATTATATTAGACCTAAGCAGTTTTACTGGGGTGTTATCCAGCATTGGAGTAGTTTATGGCGAGTATTGATAATCCTTGAATGTAGATTAATAGGATGGGGAAGTTGATGCATTTATCTGTAGATAATTTTTAATCAATTGTTCGTAATGCAGTTAAGTTTCACTTATGCTATTGACAGATTAACAACCTAAACTCTTGGTGAAGGTCATTTTAATACATTATTTAGCTAAACCGAAGTAAACTCTGAATTATAAATAGGCTATATACCTCATACATTTATACATCATACATTTATCTCTGTTAACAGGGTTGAAATCTACACGGACGACTACTGAACACAGACATATCCTAGGCAACTGTAAAACAGACGAACTTGCTTTATCTCCGTTAACAGGGTTGAAATCTACACGGACGACTACTGAATACAGACATATCTTAGGCAACTGTAAAACAGACGAACTTGTTAAAGCAGGCAAACTGCTTTCCAAAATTCACTTTTCGGATATTGATATTTCTCTTATAACAGCTAAACTGAAAATCAAGTGCCTAGGGTTAGGAAGGTCTGAGGATGAAATGGTACTCCATTACCTACCGTTAAGTAAGGAAAGGTTCAAAATCATAAGGGTCTCTTTTCTAACTGACTCAATATGGTTTTTATAATTTAAAATTAAGAACATAGCAAAGGTTATACTTGAAGATTCAAGTTAACATTACTTAACGACACAGATAACAATAAAAACCACACTTTAACTCTATAAATATACTATATACCATATATACATTATATATTATACATTCCATAAAATGCAATGTCTATAACAAAGTTTACATTAAACGTTCAAATAATCTCAAATATCATATGAATAATATGAATCATATTGACATATACACAAAGATATACGCATTTATACAACTATATGTGTATATAAACAAATATGTTAAAATGTAATAAAAAAAATGGTACGATAAGTATTTGATTTTTAGCACAAGTATCTATGGAAAAAATATTGAAAATTGAGCAAAGTTAAAATTAAATGTCTACCTTTCAATATAGAATACCGTCTTATAATCCTTATCAAATATATGGAAAAGATATCAATCCTCAATGAGATGCATTTTGCACTTTATAAGAACATTAACTGAATGGTTTCTATTTAGTTAAAGTCAATTGCAAGTATTAATAGATCTGCTATGGTTAGAGTGCTTCACGCTACATGGAACTCAGAACCCGAACAGCTTTTATTCTATTCCATTTTAAAGATAAAGATACTTTTTTGTACAGCGAAAAAATATCAAAATACATAATTATATTTAAAATTGAAATTAGTAAAGCAAATTGTTATGTTGTTATAACCCGAAAGATGCAACAAAACTCACTTTTAAAATTAACATTAGCTTATTCCCGAAGACCACAAAACTTTTTAGAACCCATGCTTTTGACAATTAAAAATCACCAACTAATTATTTTTAATCTTATTCGATACATAAATCACACTCCATACTTTTATTAATTTTTTTTATACAATACTATCTATTTATGTTTGTTAATATGAGTGTAGGTCTATATATATATAAAATATAAATAGCAAAAGGATTTCTAATTTTTACAGTTTATTTCACTAATATTTGTCTATAATTATATATATATATATATATATATTTACATTTTTTTTATATATATGACCATCCACTTAAATTTATTTATATTTATAAGTCTAGTTATATACATTATTAATATTTATTTATTATATTATTATTATAATTACATATAATAATGTATTAATAATATATTTAATATACATAATTATATTTATATAAATTTAAATAGATGATTATCTATATAAAGAAATAAATATAAATTTATTTATTTTATTATATACTTATATATAAATAAATATATGATTATATATGTACAAATAAAGTCATAGATTAGAGAAACAGACACTTGAGTGAACTAAAATCTTATACCATTTATATTTATTAAATGTACACACATATTTAGGGATTTCATTTGCAATGAGCCCCTAAAACGAAACACTGTAGAATGGCGATATTGAGAATATTTCATTTTTTGTGATTTTGTTTTTGCACAATGGAATGTCATACAAAATTTGTTTTTGTAAAATATTTTTGTTGTTTGTTTTTTAGGTTGTTGTATGTAATGTTTTAAAAGCCGAAAAAAGGAATTGGAATTAAAACCAAAAAAGAGACAAGGAAGACACATTTTAAAGCCGACTTAACATGTCTAACATGTTTCCATGTTTCCACATATGCGTACACACACATAAAGACAGAGGATCGCGGAATGGGACATTTGAAAAGGAAAACTTTCAGCGCACAAAATACTTTCGTTGAAAAATGAAAATTTTGAATGTTTTTCCGAAAAACATTTTAAATACATATAGTTTTCGCAATTATAAAGCAAGCCCGAACGTTAGTTAAAATCAAGTCAAGTTAACAATTTCACCAATCTTACCATTGGGTAAATTCTTTAGGCCACGCAGTTTTTATTTTTGTTAACTTTTTTGTATGGGAGCTATGATTTTGGTAGGAGAGCACATTCAACTTTTGAAGACGCTTGTTTTACGGAAAATCTCATATGCAAAGCCAAATAGTATGCTTACTGGAGCAAGGTAAACAAACGCCATTCCATTTAAAATGGTAACACGCTACCTTGGCGAACAAATCTCACGATCCATTTGCCTGGCGTTCCATTGCTCATTGCGATCGCCACGATAATTTAGCTTGTTAATACAAAATCTTTCAATAAGTCCAAATACACACACGCACGCACACATATATGAATATGAATATGAATATATACAAATGTGTTCAGATCTTTCGAAATTATCTACAAAAATGCACAAATATTTTAATTCAACTAACTTTTATTGTAGTTTGTAGTTAAAACAAATTAATTAAGGTGTGTTTTGTTGGTTGTCGGAATTTGTTGTAAATCTCATAGATATATATTTTTGATTTTCAATAAAACTTATGCACCTATTTGAGTATTTACCACAATTTAAAGTAACACATAATATCACGGCTTTAATAGAGAATTCCTTTAATATGCAATTTAAAATTTATATCACAAAAATAACTTCTTAAATACAAAACATGACACCGCTTGCTTTCTGAAACACATAGAAAACCAGACTGACTTGTTGATTTTAGAATAATTTAATATTCTCTCATATTTTTATCTCAAAATAAATTCTTTCAAGCCAAGACCAGAGATATCGGAGTCAAGTGTATAATATTTCTCTCCGCACATGAAGTATACATACACATTCCTGTTTTACATTCTCCATTCAAGTATTGACAAATTTACATGTTCCTCTGCTTGGGAAATGTGACCAGCGCCAACTTGGCCTCACGACCAACGAAACGAATTGGAAATGGAACTGATCGAAACGAAATTAATTCGCCGTACCAAGATTACACAAATATTGTATGCATGAGCATTTTTGTTACACAAAAAACAAAAATGTGACATATAGAACCTTTGGAAAAGCGAAGTTAATGCAGGCGTTCTCGTGTAAAGAATGTGGAAGGAAAGAAACTTGTTTTTATATATATATTCAAATATTTTATTTTCATTACTGTAAAAAAATAAACAAATCTTATTCGACACTAGGTTGTTTTGATTTAAAACTAAAGTGGAATGGAGCAACAAAAGTACATAGCTTGCTTCAAACATGCTTTGCAATTGAAGAGGAATGAATGGATTAAAGTTTTAAAAAAAATATTAAAAGATGAGGTTTAACGAAACCTCTCCTCGTAACTAGGAATAAAAAGGCAATAAATTTATTTATTGTATATAAAAGTAACCTTTTAATTCTATTAAATGAAATTAGATTTTATGCGAGAAACATATTAAACAAAACTTTGTTTATCCTTTAGAAAACAATAAAAGCATAATAATAATAAACTTGCACCATGTTATGTACTTAATATAATACAATATATTATAAATCATAAATAAATTATATAAAATTAAAAATAAATTATAAATATGTAACGAGTTTACATTTACATTTATGAATACTAACAAAATCATCGAAACCCGTACAATCACATGCAAAATTCTGCAAATCCATATGAACTTATAGATGTCAGGTCGGAATCTAGAGATGTATTTCGGTTGAATATTTTCGATGTATTTAAAAAAAATGTTAATCTTATTATAAAGCAATTAAGCATTAATAATAAATATATAATATATAAGCATATAGTAGTTCTTCAATTCGTTTTAAATTGAAAGAAGGGGCACTGAAAAAGTTCACAAAAATCCATACAAATTTATAGTTGCCGGGCACGAAACCGGAACTGTACTTCGAATGGGTGCTTTCGGATCATTTCTGTAATTGAAAAAAAAATTATTTTAATAAACAACAGTGTTAAAACAGTTTCTAGTAATCCATACAATATATATTTATATATTGTATATATATATATATTATATATATTATATATATTATATTATATATTATATATATTTATATATAAATTAATACAAAGCTATATGAATTCATAAAACTTCATAGAGATTTATACGAATTTATGGAATATATTATATTTTGAAATACAAATAAATCTGTATAAATTTATGCTGATCTATGGAAATTTTACGGAAGTTCGTACAAATTTATTGGAGTCTATTAAAATTAATATAATTTAATGCAAATTAATGCAAATCTATACTAATCTATATAAATCTCTACAAAATCTTATAAATCCATAAAAATCCAATCAAATTATTTACGAATTCATAAATATTGTACATAGAAATTTACACAGATCCAAGAAAATTCCGAAACGGTTTATTGCCCAAAGGAAAAAAAATGAGAATGGGAAAAATTAATTTTTTGCCAAAGTAAGGCTAGTCAAAGAGTTTGAAATATGAATAACGATATAATAAAATAATTTATCTTGCAAAGAGTTTACGAATAATTTATCGAACACAGTATCGTTTGCCTACTCTTACCAAAAAAAAAAAAACAATCCGGGCCAGATCTTATTTTCGGAACCGCTTGTCTTCATTACGGTTCTGTTTAAATAGCCAATCACACTTTTTCAAATACAGAGAAGCTACCCAAACTACAAAAACAACAATAGAGAAATAATGATATACATCGGTTATAAGGGACGAAAGTGATTTTTTCTAAAAAAATAACGTTCCTCAAAGATGTAAACATAATAGTTAGTGGTGGAGACCCGGTGTTACAAATAGCAACGAATGAAAGCGGTCTGTGTATTTTAATTCGTCGAAATTTACTGGATTATACTTGAAAAGGTTTTCACAAATATTAATTTTTAGTAATTAATTTTTTAGTAAAGTAATTACTTTTCTGATATTATTGATGTTGGTTTCCCACGGTAGAAAATCGAAGTTAACAATAAGTTTAGTGAAGAAATATTTATTAATTTTGATCGACAATGAATAAAGATGGAAATATCCTTCAAGATGTGAAATATAAAGCTTACTTATTGAAATATACTTGCTGTACTATAACTGTTATGAGTTTATATATATATATTGGATCCATATTGTAATATTAATTGAACCAAAACTTATGCAAACAAAAAAAAAGAAAAATGAAAATGAAAACTACGGCAGAAATGAAATATTAATTTAAAATGGTAATTCGAGTTTAAAAATTATTCGACGTTAATTGATTAGAGAACCAGCCAGCCATCATCGTATTACAATGTCAGCGTACTATAAAGAAGAAAATCAGGTATTGTGAATACACATGGAGCCACGCTTGCACCAGCAGGATTAGTGTTGTCATTTTTCGCTTTAAATTCTGTTCCCGTAAATTTGGAACCAAGGCATGAGTATTACGAGTGTATGCTCTGAGAATAGAAGAGTCATTTACGAAACGACATATCACAATTAAATATTCTAATTAATTTTAAGTTTAATCCATCTAAACGCATCTTTCACTTTTTTTTTTTTGCAAGAAAATAATTTCTTTGCTTTTAGACACTTACAGAAGGTTGGAGTATTAATTAAAGGTAGATACGAAATAATTAGGATATGATTAAGAACTTTAAGAATTGTGATTATAATATCTTCAAAATGCAAATTAAAATTTACACTCCCTTGCACTTGAGTTCTTACTCTCATATTTGTAAACTGATTCCTGGCATAGAAATCGCCAATAGAATAGATGGTAGATAGATAGATCATGGAATTTTAACACACTACAAATCAAGTATATAGTCAAGACTGAGCCAATGGTACAATTACCTCCCTTAATGTGTGGCACAAAAAAATATTTTATTATAAGAGTCTTCCCTGTCTGAAGTCTTATTAACTTCGCCAGGCAGGTGTATTCAACACAAGTGTATTCCTACAGTAAAATAAATGCATTTCATTTTCAATTGACCTTCTTAAAATCATTTTATGCAATTTTTTAAAAATTATTATTTTTTATATCACAGTTTCCCTTGTTCACAATCCTGAATATGACCATGCAGCCGCTGCTCAAGTAAAAACTGGCTAGTCATTTGTTGGATACCCGATCATGCTACAATTTGAGTTTAGAAACAGTTATTCAATTCTGTAAACTGAAGCATTAGTTTATTATAATTTAATCCATAACTACATCTCTTTCAGGAAAGTATATTTAAACTGAAAACACTCGCTATTGGCATAACACTTCGGGTAACCGTCAGGTTAAAGAGCTTTTCCGACCTTACAACTACGGCAAGTCAGACTTTCTTAGCATAACAGAGTTAAGCTGTCAAGTCTATAAAGTCAACAAAATGAATCTGTCTGAAAAAAACAAAATATCAGTTCTAGTTGGCAACAAACGGAACCTCAAAGTCTCGTTTTTTCTGCCTGTCTTTGATCTATGTCTGAAGAAGCATAGATCAGTCAGAAGCTATTGTATTTATTTGATGTTAGGAAAACAAAAAATAGACTTAGACATTGTAATATTTTACCCACAAAACAAATGGATTGTGCTGTCTTAACAAATTATAGTGACTAAAGTGTACATATTCGATTACAGAAAAAATATTATAAAAGGTGTGAACTATAGTTATATATGGTCGGTCTGTAGTATATACCAACTATTATCAATTAAACTATTATGAATCAAATTCATGTTTATAATATCTGTTATATTCGCTATATTGCTTCACATCAGTTTTGTATGTGACTAATTGTCTTAGTAAATGTTTTATTATTCGAATAAGTGTTTATACAAAGCTCTCAAGTTACCACATATGTATATATATTTATTATTGTGATTGACGGCAACGATCGCAAATCATGAAATGAAAATAAAACAAGAAAAAATTATTATCTATTATTATCATTTATTATTATTTACTTACTCAACACTTTTCATTTAAACTCAATTGCATACACAATACATTAGAACTTAAAGTATCGTTCGAGTCATTCGAAGCATCGAGAACTTTGATATTCCAGAAAGATTACTACAGAAAATTTGACTCGAGCACAGCAATCCTCGATTCGATAGCATATATTATTATATGTATTGCTCAATAATCTATTCAGGTTGCAGTGCTTTCCGGCTTTAAATAATTTGTTTATAAGGTTAAGTTAGGTTATGCTGGCAGACCAAAGAGCCCACGCGTAGACCATAAACGGCTATTGTAATACTAGATCAAAATTTTAATTTTTAGCGATAGAGTGTATCACTTAGGATGTGCGTGTTATTAGCAAATTTTATTAGAATTTCAACAGAAACCCCTAAGTATTTTTGTCCAGTTCACGAGAGAGAACCGGACAGGCATATGCTCCAAAGTTTCCGTTGCCACCGGCTTTTAGCATTTCCTACAAGCATCGCTGTGAATTAGGTTGTTTATTAGAAAACCGATATAAAATGAAACAGTTCATATTTGTAGCTTTCGAGCAGCTCGAACATATCCGATTTTTTATTGTTTCTGAGGTTTTTCGACTATTAATTGTACATCTTCAGTTCTATATATCACATGTTGGACATCTATGAAATGAATATAGTGATGCTGCCTTGATACAGCCTTGAACATTTGCCAAAGCTTAATAAGCTATTTGATGAGAGGTCTAACAGTTAATCAAGATATTCAAAAAAGGAGATCTCTAGAGTAGTAAGGCGGCGCTGCACATGTGCTAGGCAAAAATGAAGCAGAAGCACTTTATCGTCATCTCCACAACTGCGGCAGATATAATTGAAATGGAGAATCAATCTTCTAGCGTGGTTTTCAAATCCGTCCCATGGTTTTCTTCCCACCGTCGCTTCATCCGTTTTTCTAAATGCTTCTTAAATAATTGAACGTTGTTTATAAAGTAAATACTCATCGTTGTTATGTTTTTTGAATTATATATATTGGATCATTAGAATAATGAAAATAAATATTTTTCAACATATTTGAAAAACAATTTTTACCATAGCAGTGCCATTTATGGGTTCCCACAGATTTTAAGAGCGCTCGAGTATTCCTTGACAACGTGTACCCTTATTTTTGCTTTAGTCCAATTGTTTTCATGTCTCAAGCGCATACACTAATTTGTTTTAATGATTTATGACTTCATTCCATTGGGGTGACAAGGCACATTCATATGAATCTAGGTTAAATTCAAAGTTTGCATGCATTACTTTTCTTACTCTTATCTTTTGCCATTTTAGCTTTGCTAATCTATGCTATTCTGCAAAATTTTTAAACCTTGCATTTGTTGGCTTGAGAACTTATAACTTCTTCCATTGGGAACTTATAACTTCTTAGTTCTTTAGTTTCTTCTTTTCTTTTCTGATTGACTTCCATTTAAATTCTACTCATACACCAATCCCTTCTCTCCCAATTAATCCCCAATACCATCACACAACCCATACCCATACCCAAATCTATGAATTCTTCTTGTAATTCCTTTGATGTTATCGGCTTTATAGATCCCTGTGGGTTATAGCACCAACAGCAGTAGATTCAAGTGGTAGATCCTCCCTGCCATTTTTATAACCTAAATAGAAAGTCGTGGCGGTTAAAGCTCGATTTCTTTGTTATACATATAAGAAAAAATCTACCACTGGTACTTGCTGTCTTAAAAAATTCTTTACGAATATTTAAATACCAGAAATAATTCGAAGAGCACTGATAATGGGTATTTGGCAATACTTGAAACAACTGTACGGTCAGTCAATAATTCAATAAATTTATATAAAAAAAACATTTTTTTGTTGTAATTCACTACTACTCGAAACATCTGTAATAAAAAAAATTTTTTTTAAAAAGTTTGTAAGCTTTTTAAAATCTGGTAGCATTATATTATCGAAAAAAAAAAATAAAACAAAAATGTAATTTTTACTTTTTATATTTGTTGTTGTTGTTGTTATTTGAGTTAGTGCTATTGCGCACTTTTACTCTTTTATGGCTGGGGGGGGGCTTATTCCTACCCCACACTAAACTTTAACTATACTAGAATCATTATCATTTATTTATCTAGTAACTAATGACGGACCGTAGATCAGCATATCTTCCTGTGCGTCCTGAGGTGGACTTAAGGTTTGTTAGGTATTAACCTTTTTTGAATAATTTTAGGACTCTGTCCTTGAAATATTTTTTCACTGAGTCGGTTCTTGGATCTCTATGTAGATCTGTTGTTCTAATATACCAAGGAATCTTAATTAGTCTTCTTAAAGCCAGATTTTGTGCTATCTGTAATTGCTTTATGGCAGTATTTGAGGCTTTGCTGTATGTTACACATCCGTACAGTATTGCTGGCCTATAATAATTATATATATTATATATTATCGAAAAAAAAAAAATAAAACAACAAAAATTTAATTTTTACTTTTTATATTTGTTAATTTTTCAGAAAAAAAAAAATGTAATGACAGTTTTCTTTTTATTTATGCGTTAAACTAATATGTTCGTAAAAATTAATAGCTACATATTATGTATATAAATTTTATGTATTATTTAATAGTTTTGTGTTTTGTATTTAATATTTTAACATGATTTTATTAATGTATTTTTTTATTTTTATTTTTATATAATTTTAATTTTAATTTTACAAGCACTAAGAGTCTGTACATAATATGCTATAAACATTAATTCGTATCTAAACATATCAAGTTATAATTTTTATGAATAATTTTATATATATTTTTATATATATTTAGTTATATATATAGTTATATATACGTACACACACATATATATATTTATTTATATATATATATATTCATATACATATATATAATTATATATATATATATATATATAGTTGTATTTATACTTATTTTAAATAAACATATTTTACTTATAAAAAGATTGATGATATATTATATACATATATTACAAAGACATGGCAAACTTTTTAGCCATTTTATCTTATTAAAATGATTTTATTTATTTTTATCATTATTTTTGTTTTTGTTTTTGTTTGTTTTTATATTCTTTTGTTACATAATTCATACTTCAAATTATTCTCTAATCTAGTTAATGAAGAGAATAACAAGATTACACGAGCCGGATCGGAATATGTCAAATTCAGTGAACATTTGCAATTATTAGTTTTTGCTCAGTTTTAGACAGAGCCAAACTAAATCTAAGCCTTAAGACTTTATTTACTTTATATAATTTATATTTCAATAATTGTATTTTGTATTTTGTATTTTGTATTTTGTATTTCATATTTCGTAATTCATTTCTTAATCATTGGTTTAGGGTTTTTATTTTAGTTTTCAACTATTTATATTTTTTTCATTATGAACTGTTTTTATAATGTAGAATGGATAAAATATTATATTCTTCTATTCATCAAACTATTTTGGCAGTAACTAAAAATTCTCCAAACTTTTCCATATATAATACATACAGTTGTTGTTGGTTAATTGTACTTTGGTAAAACCAAATACATTATTATATATAATTATATATTAAAGTATTATTGGATAAGCTTTAGAGTTTCCAAATTAAAATAAAATAATTCAAAAACTAAAAAAAAAAAAAAATCGCATTCAATTAAAAATCAAAATTCATTGAGGTTGAAATTCTGTGTCTCCAGTTTTAATTGTACATTATGCATAAATGCATATAGTACATAATGATTCTTTTTATTAAACATAAATCTACAATATCAAATATATGTAGTAGTATACATACAAAAAGAAAGCAGTTTTTGGTTGTTGCTTAAATTATGAAGCATCTAAGGCATGTATTTTTGTTTTAATTTGCAAGACAAATATTTTATTTATTTTTATATTCATATGTTTTTTTTTATTCATTTATAGCTTTTCTATTTTTTCTATGTTTTTTTTTTCTGTAATAGTTTAAGAAATGATGTATAAGCATTACCATAAGAATTTATATCGTAAGCAATTAAATTATAAGACCAAAAAATATATCACACAATTTTACTCATTGAGTGGTACCCATAAATTAAAATTTGGTTTTTATTTTTCAATAAAAAAATTATGCAATTTAAATACAAATTAAAGACCACTATATAATAAAATATAAAGTTTTTAAATATATTTATCATTTAATAATCAAATAAATTTTGTTTTGTTTTCTTATCGTGAGATCATATTAAACTTTTGTAGCTTTTTGTTGTAAGAATTTAAACTTAGCATTTACTGTTATTGTTATATTTATATTTTATAGTGTATTTATTAGCACGGAAAGATGTTAAATTTTATAGTAATAAAATAAATTAAATTTACAAATTATCAGACAGATCTAAAAATTTAATAAATACTTCTTAAGAACTTAAAAAAAGTGTTTTTTTTACAACAATAATTTAAAATAAAGCAAATTATATTAATGTTATTTCTACTCTTTATTTTTAATTCAATATATTATTTTTTTTTTGTTTTTTTGTTCTTTTATTCGTATTTTGTTTTACAACTACATTTACTTTTATTCAAGGTTTTTTAATATATATATATATATATATTTATATATATAGTTCTTTATTTCTAATTTACTTAATATTAATGTTGTGAATAAAAGTAATAGCTTAAACCTCCTTAAAAACCTATAATAAATTTTATTCTTAAAACAAGTATATTAAACTACAATTAACATTATCATTATATATACGCCATTGTATTGTGATTTCGTCTTATTAATTTATTAGAGTTAAGATACTATAACTTTAATTTTTTTTTTATTGAATTTGGTTTCTTAAGTGTTTTATTCATCCATATAAATACAAGTATATACACATAATGGAACATTTCCTTTGGAACCTTTAAAGTAGCTTTATATTACTAGAATGTATAAGTGTATTTAGATCGTACCCAAGCATATAATAATATTTACATATCGCATTTTATTTATTTTTTTTTTGTTTTGTTTTTGTTTAATAATTTTAGTCAACTTTGTTAATCATTTAAAATTTTAAGATTTGGACTGTTAGGTTATTTACTCTTCAAATTGGTTGGTTTCGATAAAGTCTTAGTATTCTTTATGTTTTATACTGTCGCAATCACAATCAATAGATGCGCGATTTCAGCGACACGATTTTTCAGATCAGGTGCTGCACGCTCCAAATTTTCGTTGGCAAAATCACAGGACGGAAATATGTGCACTACGTAGGCTGCTTGTTCACTTCCTGGTACTGGAATATTTACGATACCAGCTGCCATTTTTTGTTGGAGGTACGTTATAAAGCCGGTTTGTAAATTGCGGGATTGCTGCAGAACATCGGCATGGTCACGGCCACACGGTAAAGCAAGCAACATACAATGTTCGTTTTCAAACTAATAAAAAAAAACAAGATAATAAATTAATTAAGGGTGTTTCATTAAATTTATTTACAAAAGAATTTATTAAAAACAAAAAATTATAAAATTTAATAAACAAATAAATAAAAATAATAAAAATAATAAAATTTAATAAACAAATAAATAAAAATAGTAAAATTTATTTACAAAAGAATTGATTAAAAACAAAAAATAATAAAATTTAATAAACAAATAAATAAAAATAATAAAATTTAATAAACAAATAAATAAAAATAGTAAAATTTATTTACAAAAGAATTGATTAAAAACAAAAAATAATAAAATTTGATAAACAAATAAATAAAAATAGTAAAATTTATTTACAAAAGAATTGATTAAAAACACAAAAAAAAATATATAAAGAAATCGTATGTATACACAGAATATTTGTAATATTATAAAATATATTTTTAGACATAATTTTAAAAATGTTATAGAATATATATATATATATATATTTATTTTTCAAAACAAAAAATTGGACAAGTATAATTCTTACTCTGCGTCTTAACAGGCTAGACTTTTGACAAGATTTTTGCAGACACTAACTGTTTCACTAACATTTTAATATAAATATCTTGTCAAAGTAGATACACTTAGTTAGTTAGCTTAGCTTAGTTAACTTATATAACATATAATAAGATCGTATTAACAAGAGTAAGATATCTCAAGGTATGATTCTCTTACAATTATAACCTATGCGACAGCTAGTCGGTACAAAAATTGTATATTATAAATATTACAGTGTGTTAAATACATATTGCATACCAGTACATTATGAAAAAAAGTAAAAAAATTTAGATGAATATAGAATAATTACCTGCATCTTCTTGGTTACGCCTTCCAGTTGCGTTTGTTCAAGTCGCATACGTTGAGCTATACGCAAAGGAGGCGTGCTACCATCACTATTGCATGGCAAGGATGCTCGGGCAACGTGGGGATTTCCAAAAACGAAATGCATTTGGACGGCCGCTTGGTCTGTTTTGAGTGCCAGTAATCCCTGCCACATAACTGGATATCGTTGCAGTAGAGTTGGTAATGAATCAGCCTGAGGTGGTGGTGTTGCCTGTGTAGCATGTGCTGATGTGCCAACATGGACATTGCGTCCTGCTACTGGAGACATTGTCGTGGCAAGTTTATCTATAATTGTTGTAGTAGCAGATGGATTTATATGAAAGTCTGTTAAAAAAAAAAAATTGATATTAATTAGAAAAACTAGTAACCAGTACATTAACATCGTAGAGTGCATAATTAAAAATTAATTTCAAATTAAAGATTTATTTATTGTGATGTCATTGTCTACAATCCATATAATACATTTTCAATGTACAATATATAAAACAAATATATTTTTTGTGTAAGCTTTAACAAATGATTATATTTGCAGATCACTTGATTGTTTACTTGCTGGAACTTGATCATATTCATTTCGTTTAGTTGGAATTATTCTTCTCACACTCGATAAGATTTGGTTTTTCGTGCGAGTTTGAAATCTGATTTTTTGATTCTTTGATTCATAATTGATCACACATAAAATAATAATAGCAAACAATAGAGAAAAATATGCTTTACTTTGATTTATTAAAATTTTCTCAACATATAACGATATATATACCTATACATATGTATATAAAATCTTTAAAAATTATATGTACTAACCTGCTACACTCATTCGTTCTTTTTCTCTTTGCTGTTGCTCTTGTTTCCGTTCGCGTTCAATAAGTTTAGCATTCAAATTAGTGGAACACACTGCTGCACTAGATGGAGGAGCCGGTGGTGACTGAACGCTAGGTGCACCAATAAATGTACTACCACCTGATTTAACTGGTGGAGGCACTACCAGGTGTGGACCAACAACTGTATGAGCTGGTGCTGAGCGATGAGCTGGTGGAGGCTCAATTGGTATTTGACGACCTGGCGCTTCATAAAAACCTCGCCCAGGCATCTCTGCAAAATGTGGATGTTGTATACGTGTATTATGTACGTACACTTGTTGAACTTGTGGTGAATCTATTAGAATAATGTAAAATTAATATTTTCACGTAACCAGCTGTTATATAATCATTTACCTGTAGCTCTATCTTGAGGACTTTGTAAATTGTGCGGTACTGCTATAGCACGTGGTATATTACTGGGACGACGCAATTCAAGTGGTGGACTGCTACCAAGAACTTTTTCATCAAATTCAGTGGGACACCGCATCGATTCTTGTGTTCGCAGCAATTGTTGATGATATATCATGAAATGTTCACGTGGCGGTACATTTCGTATAGAACTTGATGTGAAATTCGGTTCACCCTATAAAAAGTGTTATTTATATTATTTTGTAATGAGAACACATTTAAAGTAAGAACAAAAATAAAATAAATTTCATTTTTATTTTTATATTTTAAAATTACCGGAGTTATTGGAGATATCTGCTGGTGAGCAGGTGGCGGACTTTGAGTGGAACGCACACAAGCACTTGGAGAGTTATAACTCCCGATATCATGCTGCGTCCACAGTAGCAAAAATAATTGATCAATCAGTATTTAAAGTTAACATATATATATATTGTATGTATATAATATATATATATGTAATATATATATATATGTAATATATATATATGTAATATATATATATGTAATATATATATATGTAATATATATATATGTAATATATATATGTAATATATATGTAATATATATATATGTAATATATATATATGTAATATATATATATGTAATATATATATATGTAATATATATATATATATATAATTGAATTTTTATAAATATTTTTAGGGAATACTATAAAACTAATTATTAAGTATATGTCGACATTAAATATAAATATCAACATCAAATATCGACAATTAATATCGACATTAAATATCGATAAATATCAACATCAAATATCGACATTAAATATCGATAAACATTGACATTAAATATCGATAAACATCGATAAATATCGACATTAAATATCGATCAATATCGATATTAAGTATCGATCAGTATTTTAGAATTTAATAAACCCATAAATCTACTGTTTTTGCAATATTAAATATAAAATATAAATGTGAATAATTAACAATAGACAATTTTAATAAATAATATAAATTTATTAAATTTAATATAAATTTAATAAATTTAAAAATTTAATAAAAATACTTATTGAGATTAGAAATAAATCGGTATCAAAAGTTTAATGGAACATAATTTGAATTTCGTATTTACCATATTCGCATCAAATGGTGGTACTGGCATGCTAGACGACAGAATTAACGGTGCTACACGGGATTGTCCTTGTGAGCTTATCGGTGGAATAGAACTAGATGCTAAACATATGAAAAAAATTGAAAAATTTAAATATTCAATTTGGAAATAATTTTGTTTATATTTACCGCCAATTGGATTTGTTTGTTGCTGTTTTATTGCAGTCGGTGGTGGACTTTCAATGCTGGTGGAGATTAGGGATGGTGCGTTTTGGCTATTAAAACTAGGTGGAATGCTATTTACTTGTTTATTAGTTGTAGAATTCGAAATATGCTGCTGAGTAAGAGGAGGTGATGGCGTTAGTTGCTGTTGACCTACTTGCAAATGAGACGGTTTCTTCGGTTGCAAAATTAATGAGGACAATGGTATGCCCATTAAACTGGTAGGCATTACTAACGGTGCGTGCTGTTGTGGTATTTTATTTAGTTGTTGGTTTACAACAGATACTTCAACCGGAATTTGCGGTTGCTTTTGATGATGCAACTGATTTGTTGTTATATGCTGTTGCTGGATTGCACTACCTTTTACATGAACCGATTGATCAGTATTTTGTGGTTGGACTGTAATATGCGGTTGACTACCTTGCATTGGGAAACCCATTTGTGGTTCCTTTGTACTGTGAATGTTTTGATGTGTTGGTGCTAAATGTGGAGCACCAGCTGACTGTTGAGATAAGGTAGGTATTTTGGAGGTTGCAACATGTAATGTATGCAGCTGATGTGGATGCTGATGTTGTTGCTGATGTTGTTGCTGGTGTGGTTGCGGATTCTGTTGCTGTGCTATTTGAGTTTGCTTTATTACAAAAGTCTGCTTTTGTTGCTTTGGATGTTGTTGAATGCAATTTGGCAAATTTGCTGACGAATTATTTGCGTGTGGCGTTGGAATATTTGCAACATGCTTCTGTTGGTGTTGTTGACTATAGTGCTGTGACTGCTGTCGATGTTGTTGCTGTGGATGTTGCTGTGGATGTTGCTGTTGTAAATGTTGTGATGGATGCTGTTGTGGTGGATGCTGTTGTTGAGAATGCTGTTGTTGTGGATGCTGTTGTTGTGGATGCTGTTGTTGTGGATGTTGTTGTGGTGGATGCTGTTGTTGTGGATGCTGTGGTGGTGGATGCTGTTGCGAATGTGAATGCTGCTGTTGTGGATGTGGATGTTGCTGTTGTTGATGTTGCTGTGCATGTAGTTGTGGTGGGTGTTGCTGTTGCGAATGCGCTTGTTGCTGCGAATGCGCTTGTTGTTGCGAATGCGCTTGTTGCTGCGAATGCGCTTGTTGTTGCGAATGCGCTTGTTGCTGCGAATGGGGTTGTTGTTGTTGATGCGACTGTTGTTGTTGATGCGACTGTTGTTGTTGATGCGACTGTTGTTGTTGATGCGACTGTTGATGCGACTGTTGTTGCGTATGCTGTTGCAGCACTTGGTGCTGCTGTAACGGCTGATGTTGTTGCAACTGCGTTTGTTGTTGACTCTGCTGTTGTTGTTGTGATTGATGAGATTGAGATTGAGATTGGAGCGGTTGATGTTGTTGATGCGGTTGATGTGTCTGATGGGGCTGTTGTGACTGGTGAGATTGCCGAACAACATTGCTAGACGAAGTTGGATGACCTGAATTAGACATCACTATATGCTGTTGCTGTTGCTGGTGTGATGCAACAGGTATTGTTTGTCCATTAAGTACATGAGCTTTTAGTGTTTGTATATTCAGGTTCGTCTGTTGTGTATGCATTACAGTAGGGCATTGCTGGACCATAATTGGTTGCTTAGTGGGCGTATGCATTACATGTGGTTGAATCAGGTGTTGCTGAATTATTGGAGGAGTCGCTGTAGATGTCTTCACTACAACACTAACAGGTTTGTTGACAAGTGACACTTGTGTTTTTGGTTGAGGCAAAACCTCTTCTACTTGTGGTGATTTTGTAGGTGCCCCTATTGCACTGTAACTCACTTGACTAGATCCTGATGCTTTAATCAGTTTAGTGTTTTTATCTGACTGCATGACTTTATCAGAACTGGACAAGCTAGAAGGCGATGTAATCAATGACTGTACTGTGTTTTGTGTATCACTTGCCAATTGTTTGTTAGTTGAAGTTGATGGTGATGAGTGTATTGCTTCTTCTTTCTTCTTTGAAGAACATCCACTCAAAACAGGTTCAACATTAGCTTTCAATATTTCTGCTGTTGGACTTTGAATGACAGCGATTTCTTTTGTGTGCGTTACTGGACTACCTGATCGAATATTTGTGATTGTTATACGAGAATCAATTTCAGCAGCAGCAATAGCTTTCTTTTTTGGATGTTGAGGAATTGCAGATGTAGACAACTGTAATGTAGGAGTAGATGACTGCTGTAGATTCTGGTGTTGATCAAGTTGTTCTTGAGAAGTTGTTAGCTTTTCTGATATTGCAGCTGTTGATGCTTTTGTTTCAGTGCTTTCTATTGCTTTTTCTTTAGTTTTCGCAGAATATTGTTCAGTCGATTGTTCCAACAAATTTATTTTCTTATCTACATTTGTATCCTGAACTGTTATATTTTCGAATGCGGATTTGATATCCTTATTACGTCTAGGGCGACCTACTGCATTTACAACGGGTACTACCGTCTCGGGTCCTTTCTTTAGGTTTGAATTTCTTCCAGAACGTCTTGGAGGAGTTTGTGCACCTTTCGCTATAACTGATGACATTTGTGTATTACGTACGACATCTTCAATTATATCATCAATGGTACTACGGTCTTTTTCAATAAGCCTACGTGATTTACGTGTATTCATTACTGCTAAAGAAGCAACATTCACTGACGTAGAACTTTCAGAATTATCTGATAAATAAGTTAGCTGCTGTTGAACCGTAGATTCCGGTTTCTCTTGTTCTGTACATTCAGCAGCTAATTGTTCAGATGTTTGTTGTAAGACGTCAGCATCACCTAAATTAAGTTCATTTGGTAAATTTTGTTTATCCTTTGTTTTTGATAAAGGTGGCGATTGTCCAGGACTTTTGATTGTTAGTATTAAACGCGGGCGTGCAGCACTTGCTGATTGCGAAAGTGCTTCTTTTGCTGCCTTTGACTCCTCACCCGAGTCGTCATGGAACTCATACACATCTTGATCTTCTGCAACAGATGTTATGGAGGATGATGTTGCTTCTTGTTTTTCAGATGTTACATTAACTGCAGTATGTACATTTTGCGTTTCAGGAACTTTTGTCTGTTGTTGCTTTATCTGATCTGATTGCTGGAATTGTTCTTCTTGATGGTGTTCTCTATCTTCTTGACACGCTGTTTCTGCAGCTACTTTTTGTTGTTGTATTATGCGTTGTGGGCCAACATTACTGCGAGGTGGTCGGCCTTTTCGTCCACGAGTCATAAGTGTAATCGATGTAGGTTTGCGCAAACGAGTTTGCATACCTATTTCTGACTCAATAGTCTGAATAGGCGACTGTGGTAAAGTTGGACATGCTTGTTTCTTGCCTCCTCTTGGTTGTCGACCACGTTTTGTTGTTCCACCCCGAACATTGCCTTGCTGCTCGTTTATTTTTCCACTGATTTCGGTGTCATTATCAATAGAAGGTAATGATGTATTTAAGCTTAAGGAACTTGTTGTTTTAGAACTTTCAATTGCTTGATCTTTTAAAGTTTCTATTGGATTTGAAGAGGAAGATGTCATGGAATAGTTCGGTTTTATTATGTCAAGATTTTTCGCTTGAGTTTGATCCGATTGTTGTCTTTCATCTTTATTTATGGTATCAATCTTTTTAATAACTGAATCTATGCCCACTTCCTTCACTAGCCAATAGTCATTGTCATCTTTCGTGTTCTGATTTGAATAATTTTTAGAATTATCAAACTTTGATAGACATTCGTCATTTAAAAGAGCACTATTACTGTCCTTAGCAACAACTGTTGGTGTAGGAGTTCTAATAACAGAAATATTTTCTACAATTTTTACGGGTTTTTCAGTAGCATCTAAAGCTTTCACGTTTTTGTCGTCCACTTTTGTTCGTGTTTCAACAGCAGTATTCGAACTTGGAACCACATCTTTATCAACTAAAGACGATGTATTTAGCACATCATCTGCCCCAGAATTGTGCGAGGAGTCAGTTGTTGATGGTGAATTGGTTAAGGAGTTTTTGACAATTATACGCTGTTGAGGAGAAGTGTGAGGTTGCGATATAGAAGCACCAGCATTTGCGTGGTGATATAATGCATGCGATGGTTGATGCTGCGTTGTTATTCTCGGTACAGAGACGTTTCGATATTGCGGTGATATGCCAACAGAACTTTGAGATTTAATATATAAAGGTGGTGATTGTGAACATTGAATAACATTCTGCGAAACTTGATTATGCGAAGACACTTGCGGTACTTCCTGCAATTGCCCAACTTGTTGTTGTCGCAGAATTAATAAGTTTGGTGAATTCTGCGTTGGTTTACTATTTGAGTTTATTATTTGAAGCGGCTTCAGTTGTGTCTGTTGCATTGTTGGCATTGATAGATGCTGCGAACCCGGATTTTGTTGAGGTGTCGATGAAGCATTGAATATTGGATTGGATGTTTGTTGCGGATTTTGTAAATGTACATTTTGCTGGGCTTGCGGGTAAACATGTTGCTGAATCTGATGACGTTGCTGCAGTTGTTGATTTTGTTGTGGTTGCTGCATAATGTGCTGATGATATTGTTGCTGCTTTTGTTGCTCTTGAGCGCTAAGAATTGTTGCATCACAAATAAACTGCTGTTGTTGAGGTGTCATTTTAGCTTGTTGCAATATTTGAGGCGAATGTTGCTGTTGCTGTTGCTGCTGCTGCTGCTGCAGCGATTGTTGTTGCTGCTGTGGCTGCTGTTGAATTTGTAATTGCTGATGCTTTTGTGAAGTAGGTGAAAACATACTTTTTGATTGAGGAGGGACTCTTGACAAAACTTGTGTTGGTTGAGTTTGCACGTTTACAACTTTGCTGATAATCGTTGGATGTGTTGAAACAGGTGATATTTTTTGTATTTGCATTGGCAAAATGCTTTGAGCGGAATGCTGATCAATTATAGACTTAGGAGAGGACGGTATATTACCCATATTTGCAGACAGTCCATCCGAAACTGATGTTGATGGTGATGGCAAATTAGCCCTCTGTTGTGTATGCAAAGCAGTTGGATTTGAAATTTGACTATTAATAACTTTTATTTGCGGTTGTATTCTATTCATTAAAGGACTTTGCGGATGCGTTGAACCTGAAGTAATAACTACGTTTTGATTAGTTAATGAAGGCATCGTGGTAACTGGACATATTTGCTTAATAGGTGTACTGCTGTGAGAGGTTGCATGTATTTGAGGACTATGCGGTGATGTAGTACCTTGTGAAACAGCGATACTTAGTTTATTATGATGTTGCGGAGAAAGCAGTATAGTGTCACATTCTGGTGATTTTGAAGATTGCGGTGCAACAAAGTGTGGTGGCAAGTCTGGAATTAATATAGTAGGTGGTTGAGCGTCGCATGAAATTACACTCTCCTTTAGTGTCGAGCGAGTAACTGTTGTGTTTGTAATTGGAATTGTATTAACTGTTGATGACGTACAGAATAATGAAATTGAAGCCGTTGTTACTAATGTAGGTTGTTCTACATGGCCAATGTTTGGAATTGGTAAGGTGAAACGGGCAGAAGATTCAATATTCGATTTTTCTTGAATTTTTTCATCTTTTATTATTGTTATGGGATTATTGGCTTGTGAATGATGGATGCCTGTTGGTGGTGTTGTAAAAAGTGACTCACTCTTTATTTGTTTCTCTGTGGTTTCAGTATTTAATTTTGTAATGACTGATTGCAAAGTAGTTGATGTTAAAGTTTGTTGATCAACCACTTTAGTAGTTTCTTCTTGAGTATCCATAGTACTTTGTAAAGACTGACTTGATAAATCTTCATCGGTTTTTATCTGATGCATGCAACTTTGGCTTTCTTCGATATTCTCTTCAGTATCAGTATCAATTTGAAGTTCTCTTTCAGACTGCGGGGTATCCACTTTAATATTTATATCATCGTTATTTAAGCTTTGCACAGCTTTACAAATTTCTTCAGCATCTTCCTCCGGCTGCAGTTGTTCGCTTGTCTCAATTACTTTAGCAGCTAATACTGTTTCTTCATCCACTTCTTCAGAGGTATTTTCAATTACTGTTAAGTCGTCTAATACATCATCATTGAATGAATAATCAGGATTTGAAGAGTTACCAAAACTTTCACCAAGTAAAGCTGAAACCGCGCTTTCTGTTTCTTCTTGAGATATAACAACTCGTGATTTTGTATCCTCAGTTTTATCCAAATGTTTTGATGAGTCTGGTGGAGATTGGATAGGAATTTTCAGTTTATCATTAGAATCTAAAACGGAAGAACTATATTCTGCAGAAATAGATTGAACAGCTGATTCACTTATTTTTTCATCAACTTCTCCGTCAAAACCAGGAATATATATTTCTTTCTTCTTAGTTGTTGTCGCTGGTGGTATAGAAATCGATGACGATAATGAACTTATTGATTCATTCATTTGATCGCTCGAAAAAGGTGACTTAAGTGTAGCTTTAGATTTATTCATATTTGCAGAATCAAAACTAGAGCACACAGGAGTTGAAGGTGTAAATTTCTCATTCGAAGTATTTAAATTTGTCGTAGTAGGTGTTTTAGGAATTGGACTTATTATTTTTAACTCACGCATTGGAGATAGTGGAACTACAGTTACAGATTTATTATGGATCATTTTCGGTGTTTTTATATTTGAGTCCAGATCTGCGTAATCATCATCACCAATAAGACATGGTAAACTTGGAGATGGTTTCAACATGGATAAAATCGATTCTTCTTCGAGCTGATCCAATTTATTTAACTCTTTTGAAGATGATTGTGTTTCCGTACTTGGTCTTACAATTGTTGGTGGTGAAATACCAAAATGTTGAATATGTTGTGATGATGAGGGTAAATTCAACTCTCGTCGCTGGTGATTATGTTTCTCTTCCTTAGAACGCTTCTTCTTTTTCTTTTTCTCTTTGCCTTTAATATTAAATTGGGGCTGTTGCGCAATTTTATGAACTCCTTGTAATTCATTTATGTTTATCTCGTTTACAGTTTGCTTTTCTTGTGTAGTATTTTGTGACAAAATTTCCAATGAATTTTCATCACCATCAGAGAAACGAAATACATCAGTCATATCACTACGGTATGTTGCAGTTGTTGAAGGAGTAGCATCTTCATTGTTTTTATTATCAGAATCTTCCATTAGTTGTGCTTCTAGTGCACGTCCTGCTTCATCTAAATCAACACTATTTTCATCGTCTAACTGTTTGGGATGTTGTTGAAGCACTGATAGCGCATGTTGTTCACGCGACTTCTCGCGCTCCTTTCGTTTTTTCTCACGTTTATCTTTTCGATGTCGTTCTCGATCAATGTATGCACTACATAATTTCTGTTTATTTTCTTCATTTTCCTCAACCGTATGCGATTTTGGAGTAAGCGGTTCCTGTTTATATGGATTTAAAGCTGCTGATACAACCGGTCCAGCTATACTAGAAGAAGTCGAAATATTTGCATTACTTCTTGACGGTGAAGAAAATTCCTTTAATGTGCTATCAGCAAACTGTGATTCTTCATCTGAAATCGGACCAAATATATCTTCCATTTTTTCATCACCACGTTTATGTGAAAATGGCACAGAAGCAGATGCAATTTTGCAGAATATACGAGATGCATCAAGGTTTTTAGATTTTTTAGCCTTCTTCAACCGATGACGATCTTCTTTACTTAATTTTTCATGTTCAATACTGCTACCATATTCATTAATATTACGACCTTTGTCACGTTTCTTTTCCTTCCTATCTTTATGACGCTTTTTCTCAGTACAAAGTACATCACCTACAATATTATTCATAAACAGATTGGAGGAAACAGCTGACTCTCGTTTAAGTTCATCAAATGGATCAAACGATGGAGAAATTTTATTTGATTTCATTTCAGCTGAAGAGACTTTGTATATATTTGATTCGATTGGGGTTAAAGTGTCAGTATCTGTAGATTGATTTGCTGGATCAATTAATGGTAATGAAGCCTTTAAACGCTTTTTGTTCTTTTTATGTTTTCTTCTACTTTCTGTTGAGAAATGTTGTGGAGTTTTTATTTTCTGCTGATCTTCTGAATTGTAAACATAGTTATCACTAACAAAGGAATTGTCAAATAAATCTTTGAACTCCTTTTTAATTTCATCGGCAGATATAATATTTGCCGATTCATTACCACCACAAACTTGTTGCTCGTCTAAAGATGATACTGAGCAACGGCGTTTCGGCTTAATATCAGCATTTGGAGGATCTGGAAGACTTAATTCTTTTTTAATTTTCTTATTAAATTTATTTATTATTATGTCGCAATCATTATTTTTCTTTTCAACTTTAATTTTAATATCTGGTGCCGATTGTGATTCAGAATCGGAAGCTATTCTTGAAGTATAGCAATTGCGTTTATTTACAATCTTTTTACTTGGTGATGATTTTATGCGTACATTTCTCCGAATTTCATCATCTGAACTTTCATCACCATCGCACTGTCGCTTTACATTCTTGACTTTTTGTTTGCGACATCCTTCATTTGTTACAACCACCGAATCAGAATCTGAAAACACCTTTTTGGCGTTAGTATTTGAAATAGAACGCTTGCTTTTATTGACATTATTATAACCCTCATCACCAGATGATTTTAAGCCGGGATGATTGTCACCACCTCTATGATTTCGTTCTTCAAAGTCAGAATCTGAATCACCATCATAGCTAGTAGACCTCTTCTTCTCCACTCTTTTAGCGCGACATTGCTTGAGTTGTGAAAATTTGGCTTTAATTTTTTTCTCTTCCTCCTGTTTTTGCATATTTTTACATGAACGAGCTTTAACCTTATCATACATAGACACATAGGGACCATCATCTGGTATGTCAAATATGGAATGTTTCTTTCCAGCTAACGCTTCATCAGAATAGTCTGAATCTGCAGAACTTAAGTTAACTTTTCTGGATGGTGTATTTTTAAGGTTATTACCTTGTCGACTACCTAAATTTGATTGTTGTTGTTGCTGGTGCTGGTGCTGCTGCTGCTGATTTACAGGTGTTGTCTCTTCTGAACATTGAGGTGATTTATGTCCCTCATTACGATTGTCATTCTGTTGCTCATTTTTGACTTTAACATTTTCGGTCGAAACACCACTTATTGAACATCGTCGATTCGAGTTATAAGATATACCCAACACATCTTCGTCAGTGACATTATTATTAGCCACAATCGATGCAGACAATGAATCATTTACGGAATGTCTTTTCTTCTCACGATGCTCTCTTTTACCTTTATGACGTGAGTGATCACGATGTTGTTTCTGTTGATTTACAACCTTGGTCACTTGTGTTTGCCGTTGTGATGTCGATGAACTATCATCTTTTTTATTAAAGTTATGCTTCATATGAGCGAATGGATTACTTTGCTCGTGTTCTGATTGTTCGTCAATCTGGTATTTCATTTTATCTTCTAGATTATCTCCAACACCGTCCAAATTCATATTAACGCTATCATCATAATGTTGCTGTGATAATTTTTGTTTATGTTTTCCTTTAGGTTTTGCATCTTTCGATTTTACCTTGTCATCTAAGTTACAATTCTTTTTAGATTGATGACTTGAATGAAACTTTTGAGGAACAGTATATGGCATTTGATTACTTTGACTTTCACTTCTATGGGATTCAGATGTTTGGTCAATTTTAAAACGTTTATTGTACTCATCAATCTTCTTTGTACCGGTAGTTGTACCATCACTGTCTTGTGAACTAGCACGTCTTTTTGAGTTTCGACTGGGCGACTCACATGATTTTTGTCTACGCTGTTTAGTTGTTTCCATTGAAGAACTGTTCCCATCGGTTGAACTTTCTTTGTTTGTTTGAAGATTACTGTCATAAAGAAAATCTTGATTATCACAAACTGGAACGTAAGGTGTATTAGATGCATACTTTGTTAAATCTATTTGCTTGTCTTGCTGTTCATTAACTGTATCACAATCAACTAATTCATTTCCTCTTGTTTTGGATTTTCTTTCAACATGAAAATTATCCGATTTTCCAAGATGATCTTGTTCTTTCTTCTCCCTTCCTTCCATACGTTCTTGTTTATCTTTTTGTTCTTGCTCATATTTTCCTGTTTCTGATTCTGACACATCATTATCACGTAATTGGTTTTTATTTTGCTTGTCACGTTTTTCTTTTTCTTTATCTATTTTCTCGTAATCCAAATACTTTCTATTAAAAATATCTAGATCCTTATCTTCACAATCACTTGAATTGATTTTGTTGGTTGAATGTTCTTCTGATAGTAGTTGATGTCTTCGCTTTTCTGTCATTCGATTAATGCTTTTTCTTTCAGAGCTGCTTCTTTTACTTTTATTTGACTTTTCATTGTTTTTAGAGTTAACCAGAGATCCAGATGGTAATTTTGAGTGGCTAGAGATTTCTTCAGTTTGTTGATGAGAAGAAGATAAGGAACTATTAGTGACTGGCATATGTTGCTCAACAGAAGATATTTGGTTAAAAGACCCTTTCACTGTGTTATTGGGTACAGAAAGGGATTTTGTTAGTAAGCGTGTTTCAGAAAAGGCTGGTCTACCTTCTATATTCTCTGTAACAAACTCATCCATTCCCTGCGCTGGAACACTGAACGATTTAATAATTGATTTCAGTCCACCAGATGATTGTGTAAAGGACTCAGCCGGAGCAGGTCCACTAGGAGGTGCCGGTTGCGCTGAAGGTGAAGGTGCTGCACTGCTTGGTAAAGGAGGATGACTAGGGAATGGATATTGCAGGCCTTTTGGTGCTGTAGACGGGCTTGTTGAAGCAGGTATACTCTGTTGTGTTGTTAATACAATTGGAATAGGTGCTATTGTCGTTGAAGGTTTAGTAATAGGTGCTGTCTGATTAACAGTCCCCACTGATGGGGATGGCGATGGGCTATTATATGGTGACATTGATGCTTGAGGTGAATTCATTGGTGACAAACTGCTTAGCCGCTGCATTAAATGATACGATTTACCAGTACTAACACTAACGCTGCTACTTCCAACCACGGGTGTTTTTGTAACTGCCAAATTAGGTAAACTTGGCGAAGTGCAAATGCTAGTTGTACTTTTCGGCATCTGTGAAGATTCACTGAAAGGTTCGTACCACTGATTTTTCTTAAGTCGTTGGAAATCATCATCAAAAATTGATTTTTTAGCCAGTACAGATTTTACTATATCAGATGGATGTACTTCATGAACCTCAGCATCAAATGATTTTTGAGATGGAGTCGTCGGTAAAGGTGTATTATTGCCTGCAGTAGGACCCGGAAGAGGAACATTTGCAACATGTTGATCTGGCTGTGGTGGTGCTTGTCGCCAGTTCGGAACATTGTTACAAAATTCTTCCGGTCTCTGTGGTGGCCACTGTCCACTATTTACCACTTCATTGGGACGAAATATTTGTTTAAAATCTGGGTGGCGGACATATTCATTTTTCTTTACAATGTTTCCACCCATTGCATAACTGGTACCCCCACCAGACCATCGTTCATACATTTCATCAAGAGTTCGAATGCGTTCTTCTAAGGAAGGACTGTCAGTTGGTTGTACGGGCACATCCGAATCACTAGAATTTGTGCTTAACGAGCGGGTTCTCATAGGACTTACCAATGCTGTAGCTGACATTGAGGAATTAATAATACCAGAAGTACCCGATACATGACCATAATGCTGATGCTGATGATGATGATGATGGTGATGCGATCGCCAATGTGAATAGCGTGCCGCGGGGCTCATCATGTTAGCTGCTGGTGCAGAGGACGCTATATTATGACTAAGACTAGAATTAATGTAACTGCAACTGCCACTTAAATTATTGTTTGACAATATATGTGCACCAGAGACTAAGTAAGGATTAGTTAAGCTATTTCCATGCATTGATATATTTGTAGGTTGACTTGTTCCAACAATAGGTCCACCCATTCCGCCATTTCGATATTGCTGAAAAAATTGTATTCCAAATTTTGGCAAGGGCAATATCATAGGTTCAAATGGACGATCACGTGGAATGCGGCGGGGTTCACTAGGAATAACTTCAGGTCGCTCATCGCAGAGTGGAGTCCCAGGACGTGAACCATCAGAGCTCTCCCCGCCACTAGCTTCATGGGAATGATGTGAATGCAATTGATGCCCTCGTCCGCGTGATACATGATGATGAAAGTCATCACTGCTTGAATTTACACCATTATTGTTCATTTGCAAAACCGATGACATATTGCTACTAGCATTACTGCTGACAACTCGACGTCTTTTATTTGCTGCTTGCGATGATGTTATCGAAGCGGACATGAGGTGCTGTGAATACATATCACTGGTAGATGAATTACTAATGACACCTTCATGTCGCGTGGACGAAGTAGAAGTTGCATTTGGGGGTAAATTTGATGATGTTGTAATATCTTTGGACGGTCGATGACTAAGTTCATGTAGTGGTTTATTATGTTCCTGTTGTACCTGATGATGAGTGTTATGCAACTGTTGATATAAACTATTTATATCAGAGAGATGTCGTACATCACTTTTCCGATATGAAAAATCGAGCAAATAATTTACATCACAGTTAGGAATTAAGTTATTTTCAGAATGTTCACTACTATTCACATCTTGTAAATGGGGCTGGTTCTATATATATAATACAAAAGAAAAAAAAAAACAAAGAACAAGAAAAAAAAATTATATATAATACAGATCATATACAGATTATATATATATAATTATTTATAAATAATTTTAACACGTTAGCAAGTAACAAAATTTATTAAAATACAATGTATATTTTTTTATATATCAGTTTGATTCTTACCAGTTCTTTAGATATATTTGTAAAGTGATGATCTATTTTCATCCGTTTTCTTGGGCTTACAACATTTTCATCACTTGACGGACATTCATCTAACTGATCTAATAAATGCGAACGTTCCCTTTGTAAAATTCGTATATCACCTAAAATTTATAAACACATTTAATAAATTTTTTAAATTATATTAGTTTAATATAAATTAATATACCCTTTTGTTGAGATGGACTTTTATCACAACAACGACGTGCATTATTACTATTGAAAGTTATTTCAAGCCCTTCAATATTTGCACCAGTTGTAGAGCTACTCACGACTGGTCCAAGACGAAGAAGTAAAGGCGAATCAGAACGTAAACTATTACTACCATAAAGATTCTGCGCTGCATCTTCATCATGCGATGCACATGAACCTTGACTGTATTCATCGTTCGATCTAAATCGTCGTGCCTCCGAATGATCAAGTTCAAAAGCGATGCGCGAACTACGAGATCCACGACTACGTGTTGTAGTTGTGTTTCCAGATATTGTTGAAAGATTAAGAGGTACAGAAATAGAAGGACAAACACAAAAGCTGTCTGGCATTGCTGAGTTATTATTATTCGAAACATTAGTCACTAGAGCTGGCGGTAGCGTAGATACAACAACACCTGAGCAGCTACTACTACTACTGCTTGGTGTATTATTGGGTGAACACCCATCATTCGAATTTTGGTGGCGACTAAATGAAGAGGCTCGAGAGCGTGATTGTAATTCATAACGGTTAAACCGAGTTCCTTATAAAATTAAAAGTAATTTTTATTAAAAAAAGCTTGCCAGCTATAACAGCACAATATAATATTTATATTAAAAGATTATATCTTTTAAGCAATAAAAACAGTTTGGAAACCAGTTAAAGTGCAGAGCTTTTCAAAAACGATTGAAATGATTATTGTATTCTTTTAAATAAAATGCAAACTTAAAAATTTGAATATGAAGGATGAATGAAATCATATTTGACTGATTGATTGCACGTCCTATAACATCATAAAGGAATATATAATTATTTATATTTAAACTCAATTAATACTTAGTGGTATAGACTAAACGAAAAAAAAAAAAATTTTTTAATGATAAATTTAAATACGAAATTTTAAATTTTGGTGTACCGCATAAATATGCAATTAAATTAATTATGTGTAAAATATTGAAAGAGAACTATGAACATTTAAAATTGGAACCTCATTGAATCACTCATTTATAATCAAATTGTACGACTGAGCTTTAAGTAAATTATGTTCTTATATAAATAAGGACAAAAACCAGTCGTGGAGCTATTATTTATGGTAACAAATATTATAAGGCAGTGGAAATTCGAGAAAAAATGTGATGAAAAGTAAAAAATAGTGGTACTACAATATATATAAATATATAACATAATATAAAAAATGTGATAAAGGTTCAAAAAAGAATGGTTGAAATTCTACTTTTTTTTTAATAGTTAATAGTACTAGTTAAACTATGTTCGAATACTGTTTTAACTTGTATGAATATGGTTAATAATTTTAACAGATTTAGTATATTTAGTATGTTTTATTAAAAGCATCTTAAATCAAATTAAGCTCTAAAATTTTTTTTGTTAATGTGAAAGAGACTATTACAAGCTGAGACTATCTCAGACATCAACATAAATAAGTATAAACTAACTTGAACATACCTGTATTTTGCTTTTCTAATTTATCATAGAAGGCGTCCTGACACTCACGGGAAGCAAAATCAATTTGCAGTTTACGCCCTCGAAATGTTGTTCCACGCATTTCTTTCACAGCTGTCTGTGCGTACTGTATTTGTTCATATAGTACTAAAGCCAACTGTCTCACACGATCAATAATGACTTTGGTTACAGTTCCATATCGAGAAAATTGAGACTGTAAATGTGATTCGGAAATTTTCTCACTGACACCATCTATCCAAACACAATTTGTTGGCATTGATTTACCGAACCCCAATTTAATACGATTGTTTCCCAAATGTTCACCATCCATTTTACGCATTGCCTTCACAACAGAAACAATATCCGAATACTGACAAAATGCATATGCATTCACCCCTTGCTTTTTAATGTCAATTTCAATGATTTCTCCAAAACATTCGAAATGACTCCGCAATTCACTAGACGTTATATCCTTCTCTAAATTACCAATAAAAAGAGTACGTGTCGATTTTGGATGATATTCGTCTAATTCAGCTTCATAAGGACGAAATTCATTATCTTCAACATCATGCCCTTGATATGGTTCCACTTCAATTTTGTAACCAAAGAATTTTTTATCATGTGAAACCTCTAGTGCTTTTTCCACGTCATCAGGTTTCTTAAAGCAGACAAGCGCATATCTTTCTGAACTTTGGCCAACAACTTTAACCCATGTAACCTTGCCATGCTTTTTATATTCATGAAATAGACCATCTTTAAGAGATGTATCTGATGATCTTGCAGGTAAATTTCGTACACGAATAGCTAATGGCCGGTTATCTTCCGTGTGTACTATAGGATTTGAGGTGGAACACGAACTAATACTACTACTGCTACTGCTACTACTATTAACACCACCACATGTGCTGTTACTGGGATTTGACGTACCACCTATTTTATACAAAAATAAATAAATTAGTAACAAATATAAATATAAATATAAATATAAATATAAATATAAATATAAATATAAATATAAATATAAATATAAATATAAATATATAATAAATAAAGAAATATAAATATATAATAAATAAATAAATATAAATATATAATAAATAAATAAATATAAATATATAATAAATAAAGAAATATAAATATATAATAAATTAATAAATAAATATATATATAGATATATAATAAATAAATAAATATAAATATATAATAAATAAATAAATATAAATATATAATAAATAAATAAATATAAATATATAATAAATAAATAGATATAAATATATAATAAATAAATAAATATAAATAAAAATAAAAATATAAATATAAATATAAATATAAATATAAATATAAATATAAATATAAATATAATTATAAATATAAATAAATATAAATATAATGTATTATTCTTCATAAATAATTAATATTTAATTTTTATATTTTTTTCTGACATTAAACAATATTTCCATATATAATGGAGCCGAAATTTGGCAATTGATTTTAATAATTATTATTATTTTTACAAATTTTTTCCAATTAGTTATATATAGCTTAGTTCTTGAGACATCAGACCTTAAAATTGTAAACAATGTATTGAATAAAGTATATTATAATGTGGCCGAGATTTAGCAATAGACTTTGTTAAATAAAAATATTCTTAGAAATTTTCTCTAGTAAGGTATATTTACATATAGCTTAGTCCTTGAGATATCGCAGCACCTAAGATATTAGCGCAAAACATTTTGTGATAAACTGTTTCCGAATTTATATACAGATATATACAGGTAAATTATATATAGTTTACAAATTTTATCTGAAAGATATATGTTTGTCTTGTTAAAAAGAATATATAGTAATCAGACCATTTTTATACTGAGACGATGTTCTACTTCTGCATCTAACTATCAAAATTATGTTAAGTTTATATGTAGCATATAAACAAAATACTAAGTGGTAATATATGTTTACAGATATATTTGTATAAGAAAGGTTTAATTATACTATTAAGGTCAATATATTGTAACAGAAGAAGTTCATATATGAACGATCTTTTGTAGAACGCAAAAAAGCGCGAAATTCTTGCACTATTTCAGTTAATATGAATATAAATAATGAATGTTTCGGAGATATTCTTTAAAGTTCTGAATGTCCATTTATAATTTTATGTAGAAAAAAAGGTACTTAAATTGAACTGTAAAAATTTTAAATTAAAAGAACTCAATTATAGAATTAATGTTTAATATTGCGTTTCAAGTATTTTGTATTAAAATGCCCCTAAGTTTCTATTTCATGTACAGAGCAATTATTTATTGCTCATATCACGCAAACTGGCGGTACGAATTTCACAATCAAAAACTCATTAATATAAATAAATAATATATATATATTATATTTTAAATAAATTAAAATCAAATGCTAATTACCGTGAATAGGTGTAATAACTGTTGACTGTAGATTTCTTAAACTCTTTGATGATGATATTGCCGAATGTAGGGCTGTTGAATTAGTTGTTAAAGCAGCAACCAAAGCCGGATCATTATTTGACAGGGGACTGAAATCGTGTGAGTGAGATGAATTTGAAGAGGAGGAGCTCTGTGATGAACTGTAACTGCTTGGTGACCGCGAATGAGACCGACTTGATGATATGGTGCTTCGTCTGTGCGAATTAACTTTAGGTGAATTATGAGGGACTATACTATTTATTATAACTGTTGAATTTGAAGAGGATATAGTGTTATTTGCATTGGGTTCAATTATGTTACTATCAGTAGATGTAACATTTGTGGCAACAACTAGAGTCGATGTATTTGAACTCTCACTGTCATCGCTATTTATCGCGGAACTTGTACGTCCTATACTGCTTATAGATATCTTGTTGTTATTACTACCTATATTACCGTAACTATTATTGATTGTACTACAGCAGTTACTACTATTCGCTGATGATGTCAGTGCCATCATTGCTGTAACTGAAGTTGGTGATATCGAACCGGACCGTAAATTTTTATATGTATTTTGTTTAATGCCCTTATTGATTAACGCAATTGGATTTATTGCTGACATTTTATTAGAGGATGCTGAAGCATCCAATTTAATAGCGTTGTCGTATATAGTTGAAGGGACAGGTGGTTTGTTGCAAGAGATGTTGTTTTCTTCTGCTGATGAGACGGCGGCAAAGCCATTGCCACCAGGACCGTTCGAATTTGTAACAGCATTGTAACATGACGGCGGTGAACAAATTTTGTTTGTATCAATATCACCAAAATTAGATCTAAATAAAAATATTGATTATGGTAATTAATAGTTAATGAAATATATTTTAATTATTTTAAATATTTCAATATATTTAATTTTACAATATTATATTATAGTTACCTTTCCGTCACTGTTGCTGTTGGGCTATTTTTATGAAGACGATCTGATGTTTTACCTCTGTTATGTTCAATATTAACAGGTAATTCTGTTGAATAGTCAAAAGTACTTTCCGATGGTGCTTGAAAAGTATTTTTATAAGCGACTGATCGTTTTGTTGAGGAATCAGCTTCAGTAACTAAACGTGAACTCCTTTCAACTTGTCCACTATTCTTTATTCCTGAAGTAGGCGATGAAATGTTTTCAGACCTGAATAGTAAATAACGAGAAATAGAATAAAAATAAACTTGAATTAATAATTGATTTGAAAAAATGTAAAAACAACACAAATTTATTTATAAGGCTTTAAACTTTAATGGCTAAAGTTTAAAATGCGTATGTTAGGTGGAGACAAACTCAATCTATATAGCTTAAGTAATACGTTTAGTCATCATTATCGATAAAAAAAAAAAAATAATATAGATTTCAATTGGAAAAAATATAATTAAAAAAAACAAAAAGTTTAAAGTTGCATATACTCAGCGCTGCAAAATAAAAATATCTTAGCTATTAATTCAATACCAACTGCTAATTTCACAATCTAAGATACTTTGATATCTTAAATCTATTGCAGTCAATCGTCAATCGTCAATCAGAATATCATAGATATGTGATCATGTGCTGATCATATAAAAAGTTGTTTATAAAATCAATGGTTTTCATAAAAATTATCTTGAAATCTATGAAAAAAAAGTGATCGACAGAGGAAATTACATAACATAAAAATAAGTATTTTTTACCCTATAAGGCAAACTTTATAGCAAACAATGCAAATCTAAAGTATTTCATAAATAGCAGAAATACTACTATATTCGCCATTAAATGTATTATAAATGTGTTATTAAAAAATCAACTTTAATGAAATAAATATACAATTATTTATATTACACATAGTGTTAGATGATCTCTTCAATTATTATTCTTTCTCGTTGACATTAAAATTCCGCAATATACGAGTATAAACCGTTCAAGTTTATTATTCACACTTAACTTTATTTATTTCCGTCAAAAGAAAATTGAAAGCTTGAATAGAAACTTTTATTACAAAGAACATACGGTTTTAAATATATTGCAGTCAAATCATTTTCTTCACTTGTATGGATAATAATATAATAATAAGCATTCAAACGAGTATAAATCTACAGAGCAGCAATGAGTACGAAAATTTAAACAATAAAAAATTTTAATAGAATCGTTTACTTCAATACCAGAGATTACAAGTCCCTATAACTCATAGCCCCCAAAAATTTTAGTCGAGTATGTTATTTTGAAAGCTGGACAGACACAGAGAAGATGTTCCAGATTTCTTTTGACACGAGGTGTCTTGCATTTTCTGCATTCGTCGTTCCTACTGATGATATTCAGATAATGTGCATGTGTTACGAATAACAACATATATATCTACTATATCTACTAACAATTTGTAGTTCTTTAAATCGAATAACCACATAGATTTAGTTTAATTTTTTTTTTTTTTTGATTTTATGTGTAAATATGATCCTGAGAACTTTATAGGTATACTACTATATTTCTCAACGTAGTACGTTAAGGTAATTACAATGTAATAGAATATATAGACAAAGCATTTTGTGATTAGAAATAAAAATTTCAGAAGCAAAAACATTATATTGTATTAAAAATTACTAAAGTTATTTAAATTACTTCCACTTCTCTCCGTTTAACTAAATGAAGTTCTATTTATATGGATAATGTTAGAAAAAATTGAACCAATATAAAATATTCAAAATTTATCTGCAGATTATATAGTAGATTAATAAAAAAATCTATTTGAAGTAAAAAAATTTATTAGAACTATTTATACTTTAAGAGATAATATATATCTTTTTTGTAATAAGTAATATATTTATCTGTATTTCATCATGTGAAAAACAAAGCCCACACCCATTTCCATCCTTTTACTGCTAATTAAATTATTAATCTATTTTTTGAATAAATCATCAAATGCTTACACTCATATCCAACTTATATTTAAAATTAAAGATATATCAACTTTTATTTATTTTATTTATGTTGCTTAAAAATTTGATAATGTTTCTATGTGTTACAATTATTGTAAATTTTCAGGCACTCTCCACTTATAACTATGTATAAAATTTATAATATCCTACAACTCGTCTGGGTACCCAATTAGCATCATAGTGTAGTAGTCAGTATACATAGCAAATTTAACATCCCCGAACAGTTACATCGAGTTATTGTTCCCGATGAGAAATATTTGGATACAATAAATTTCAATATTGTCCATAACGGTTACTTCAAGTAAGATTGGACTGGCGACCTCATACGTCAAAGCCCGCTGTTGATACTACAGCTAAAGCGTGCTCACGGGTGGGCACACGACATGTTTTACCTAGAGACCACTTAAACACCTGTGTGCATGATTTAAATTCAATTTATGTACAGTACTCCATTCGCCGATCCTTCGGAGAGATACTGCATATAGCGGACTTAGTTAAATCAATATACTTAATTAACAATAAAAAAAAAATGCCAGTCCCTATGTGTGAAATAAGATTTTTCAATGCGGTCTTTAACGTGTTAAGAATATAGCAAACTTGATAGTCTATAAACCTAACTATGTCCCTAATTTTGACGGATGATAGCTCTATCAAACCGATCAGAAAAAAAAATTTTATATGTATTGAATTTTTCACTAGTAAAAGAATTTTCTTTATTAATATTACTTATTAATAAAAAGAAATGTTTGATAATTGCAAATAGTATTATATGGTATATAGCTAAAAAATATAGTAGCAAGCAATCTATACTGATCAGCAGTATAAAGTATCAAACAGTTGGGCACAACCATAACTACAAAAGTTATTATGGACTAGACAAAGGCTTATTGCATGTTTTTAATATAATTATCTGACAGTACCGATACCGTAGTATTCGCTAATATAGTATCCTTCTTACTTAAATTGGTGGAAGTCATACAGTCTGACAAGGATCTTTATCTAGCCATATTTTTTGCTAGATATTTTTATTTAATGGCTACCTCAATCGTTGCGAATAGCATACCAATGTCTAGAGAGTAAATTTCAGAGTCTACCTCTTTCGGCAAATAAATAAGCCCAGCAATTACTCGAGATGTCTCTGTGTAAAGGTACTCACATAAATTTAATACTGACAATTGAAGCTAATTTATTGAGAAAAGCACCTCTAAGTCCATTACATTTTTAGCACATTTATTTTTAGAATGCTCAATTGCCTATTTTGTTGCAGATTTGAAAATTAAAATTCATTTAATAAAATGAAGGTTGGATATATCTTAAAAAAGTTTGAACCCCAAAACCGCCCTTGTATACGTCCGTCTCCGCGTTATGGTGGTAAGTCAATTATCTTTTTTATTTTTAAATAAGCAAAGAAGTATTATGTAAATTTTATCATAATTTTTTATTATGTTAATATTATTAAGTTAATAGTAAACATGATTTTTGTTTTTGGAATGTATATTTAATTCGATTTTGGAAGAATATGTTACTTTTGGAATTCCTACTTCATACTTCACTGCTATATAGAGTAATTTGTAAATAATATTTTCAAATCTATAAATCCATATAATTTATATAAAAAAAAAAATAAATTTGTGAAATAATGCAAGTAATTTTTTTTTAATGGAAAGGGAATTCATCTATACATTTTTTTCATTTAATAATTATTAAGGTAAATATAAGACGTGTTATAATTCATAGCTTTATAGTATGATAACGTTAAGATATTAAAATCAAAGATTGATGAACCTGTTCATTATAACATATTAACATCAATTTTTTTTACTATTTATTAAAATTATTATTCTTTCATTTTATTTACTTAATACAAACTATCTCACTCTTGCATGGGTGGTGGTGGTTGTGGTGGTGTAGTGTTTCATATTGTGCCTCACCGCTACATTCGCAACTATATACAAAAATTGATAACCACACTTTATATATATTACGAATACAATAACAGTAGTACTCATTAATTAAGACCTGTTTGTCTGTTTGATGCTCTCTATTGTCTGCAGAAGAAGAATACGAAAAGAGATCTTGTCACACATTCAACATCAGATCTCTCTCATTCAACTAGGTATTGTATTTTCAAGATATTCAAGTTATTAAATATAATTGACAATTTTATAGACAAATTAAAAAAATAAAAATAAAATAACAATCGGAAAGCTTAAACTTTAATACGTGTGGCTTGATAGATATATCATACAAATAGTTATATTTTATTAATTTTAATTGAGACTTGCATAGGAGAAGACATTTAAATAAGATCTGAACTTCTTGATTTTCAATGACTCCAATTATGTACATGAAAAAAATAAGCCTTTCTTTGGAACTAGTAAGTAATAAAAAAATTCAATTTGTACGTAATTCATTGGTGTGCTTTTTCCATTTAAATTGCCTAATAAATATTGTAAATTAAATGAAATTTAATTTAATTTAATTTAATTTAATTTAATTTAATTTAATTAAGTCATTTAATTTAATTTAATTAAGTCATTTAATTTGATTTAATTAAGTAATTTAATTTAATTTAATTAAATCATTTAATTTAATTTAATTAAGTCATTTAATTTGATTTAATTAAGGCATTTAATTTAATTAGTGTAAAATGGGAAGAGATGAGTAATTAAAAAACATAATCACAATAGGAATTGTTAGCAAAGTTAGATTGATTTAGAATAAGATGAGCATTAATACTTTGAATGTCACATAAAATTTGAACTTTGTAATATAATTAACATCCAATTCTTGCTTACTCATACATACTTATAGCTTTTCTTACTATAAAAATTGTAATAGAAAAAAAGTAATCTCCACAGTACAATTTTTATATCATCGTTAAAGAAAGCATACCCGACTATTGAAATCATCTATTATAATACAAATTCTAAATGCAAATATTTGATAGAGACAAGTCATGTTTTCTGACATCTTTAGAAAAGTGAAGATTCCTTTACTATCTCAGAACTATTAAAAAAAATTGATGATTTTATAACAAAAAACTATCAGTTATTTCAAGATTGGAAGTATATTAATAATACAGAACTTAGACATTATGTTCTAGATCTAGAGAACTTGAGGGATCAAAATACAGATAGCATTAGAAAATGGAATTAATGAACTAGAACATTCAATAGATTTTACTTTGTAATTAGATGTACCTATTAGATTAATCTGATTAACAAAAAA